CACATTCACATCAGAAGAGGCGGGGCCAGGAGCTCGGACTCGACCCCCGCAACCTCAACTAGGTGAGTACAACTAGGTGAGTACACACCATTCGCACACACACACACACACACACATTCACACAAACACACACACACACAGACACACAAACACACACACACAGACACACACACACATACGTTTTCAGTGTTGTACCACATGCTAAAAATGAGGGGAATGACGTTCAGGATAAAACAATATATATATAATTATATGAAAGTTGGAAACACGAGGACATTCGAGGACAGGACAGCAGGAGCATTAAGAAGATGCAGAACCAAGATGATAACATCAGTGATATAAAACCCGCCACCAAACAGCAGCGATTTACAGTCCTCTACCAAACAGCAGTGACATACTACCCTCCACCAGTGATATACAACACTACCAAACAGCAGTGATACACTACCCTCCGCCAAACAGCAGTGATATACAACCCTCTACCAAACAGCAATGATATACAACCCTCCAGCAATACAGCAGTGATATACAACCCTCCAGCAATACATCAGTGATATACAGCCCTCTAGCAATACAGCAGTGATATACAACCCTCTACCAAACAGCAGTGATATACAGCCCTCCACCAAACAGCAGTGATATACAACCCTCTACCAAACAGCAGTGATATACAACCCTAAAGTAATGCAGTAGTAATATACAACCCTCCAGCAATACAGCAGTGATATACAACCCTCCAGTAATACAGCAGTGATATACAACCCTCTACCAAACAGCAGTGATATACAACCTTCCACCAAACAGCAGTGATTACACCTTCACAACAGCGTGATATACAACCTTACCAAACAGCAGTGATATACAACCTCTCAAACAGCAGTGATTAAACCTTACGAACACGTGATATACAAGCTTCCACCTAACAGCAGTGATATACAACCCTCTACCAAACAGCAGTGATATACAACCTTCCACCAAACAGCAGTGATATGCAACCCTCTACCAAACAGCAGTGATATACAACCCTCTACAAAACAGCAGTGACATACAACTCTCTACGAAACAGCAGTGATATACAACCTTCCACCTAACAGCAGTGATATACAACCCTCCAGCAATACAGCAGTGTGCTCACCATGGAGCAAGAGTTGAAACAAAAGGTCAAACATTAAGAATTTTGATGATAGAAACGCATAAAGTAAACAAGGCAGAAGCAAATTACTCAGGAACACAACCTTGCACTCACCAGTACTCACAAAGCCTTCCAAGTGCTTCCATAGTGTTACCCGTGTTCTCTATCTCTCTCTCTCGTTCTCTCTCTCTCTCTCTCTCTCTCTCTCTCTCTCGTTCTCTCTCTCTCTCTCTCTCTCTATCTCCTTCTCGTCCCTCTCTCTCTTCTCGCTTCTCTCTCCTCTCTCTCTACTCTCTTCTCTCCTCTCTCTCTCCACACTCCGCACTTCATTACTAGCTTCCTCTCACTACAATTAGAACTGCCACCCCTTCATCATCTCTTTCTCGTCTTCATCATTTTTTCTCGTTTATCATTTTCTCTCTCCTCCGTTGGAATATATATATAAAGGTTTCTTCCAGTGAGCGCAGATTCAGCGTTTTGAACGATGATTAAATAGGAATTATCGACCAGTATCGCCAACCTTCAATGTTTCAAGATCGTGTTGAAGCTGTTATGAACTTCTTCATTCCCAGTCACACCATTCACAATGTTTCGAGCCCATTTAGGACTTTCCAAAGGCATTCAGAACGTTTCGAACCCATAAAGAACTTTTCAAACTCATTCATAACATCTGAAACCCATTCAGAAAGTATCAAATCCCATGCAAAAGGTTTCAAATATATTCCGAACATCTCAAACATATTCAGAATGTTTCAAATCAATTATGGACGTTATAAACCCATTGAGAAAGCCTCCGGAATCTCTCTCTTTCTCTCTCTCTCTCTCTTTCTTTCCCTCTCCCTGAGCATAAGTCAACAATAGCCGCATCTCTCGCACCATCAACGTCATTCTCATGCAACACAGATTTTCATATGTTGTTGCAGAGAAAAAGTTGTGTTTATCTCTCACATGTTTTTCTGCGTGATATCATCGCTATAGTGAGAGTGAGAGAGAGAGAAAGAAAGTCAGAGGAAGGAGAGAGAGGAAGAGAGGAAGTGAGGGAGGGAGGGGTGGGAGAGTGCGGAGAAAGATGAGAGGGGAGAGAGAGGGGTGAGAGATGATGGAGAGAGAGTAAAAAGAGGTGTGTGTGGTGTGAGAAGAGAGAGAGAGAGAGAGAGAGAGAGAGAGAGAGGTGCGGGAAAGTCTCTATTGATTCCTGGGAACGAAGAGAGGTAGGAAATACTTATATCTCGTAGCACTAGTGAGAGAGAGAGAGAGAGAGAGAGAGAGAGAGAGAGAGAGAGAGAGAGAGAGAGAGAGAGAGAGAGAGAGAGAGAGAGAGAGAGAGAGAGAGAGAGACATGAGACAGAGAGAGACAGACACACACACAGAAAGAGAGAGACAGAGGACAGAGAAGAGAGCAGAGAAGAGATACAGAGAGAACAGAGAGAGAGAGAGAGAGAGAGAGAGACGACAGAACAGACAGACAGAAGACAGACAGACAGAGCAGAGACAGAGGACAGAGACAGAGAGACGAGAGAGGGGAGAGAGAGAGAGAGAGGAGAGAGAGAGAGAGAAGAGAAGAGAGAAGAGAGAGAGAGAGAGAGAGAGAGAGAGAGAGAGAGAGAGAGAGAGAGAGAGAGAGAGAGAGAGAGAGAGAGAGAGAGAGAGAGAGAGAGAGAGAGAGAGAGAGAGAGAGAGAGAGAGAGAGACAGACAGAGAGAGAGAGACAGAGACAGAGAGACAGAGAGAGAGAGAGAGAGAGAGAGAGAGAGAGAGAGAGAGAGAGAGAGAGAGAGAGAGAGAGAGAGAGAGAGAGAGAGAGAGAGAGATTGAGATGTGAGTTAAGGTAGGATAACAACTATTAACGACCAAAGTAAATACAGGAACCTTCAACCTGAAACATAACACGTGTAATGCACAGACATCATTATTATTATTATTATTATTATTATGAAGCAGAAAAGCCGTATAAGTAACATAACTTCGCAGTTAGAGTGTAACTGGTTGCTTCACACTTCACCATCGTTCATCTTATGTTTCCAAACTTCATACAATAACCAGCTCATTCAGAGAGTTAAGTTCACGTTTATTTCTTCTCCCTCGAAACCTTTTTCTTCCCTATAATAAACAAGCGACGTTTTGAATTCACTTCTTAACACCTACCAATTACGAGACTCACAGTTCCTCAAACACAAGAGTCATTATATTTATCGAGTATTTTCTAGTTTAGGTTGCGTTAAGAATTTTATTCTAGTCTTCAATTGTGGGGCTCTGATGGCCTGGTGGCTAAAGCTCTCGCTTCACACGGCGAAGGTCTAGGTTCGACTCCCAGCCAGGGTAAAAACATTTTAGGCATGTTTCTTTACACTTGTTGTCTATGTTCACCCATCAGTACAATGGGTACCTGGGCTAATTTGACCGAAATGCTCAGCATAACAAGCAGCTTTCTATATAGTACTTTGTCACTGATGTCACCTAGGACTGTATACCTTGCACTTGTAGTAAGTAAATATATTATATTGTATTATTTTATATTTTGGAGGTAATTTATGGGGGACTAGTGAGTTTTAAAAAAGTCTCTGAAAACAGAAGTTCAATACTTCTTTCAAATTTGGAAGTAAAACTCGCATCAAGATGTGAACGTAACATTCAGTAGCTCTGATACCATCAGGTTATCAGTAAAAAACAGATTCCTGGAACTGACTGTGATAAACGTTGCAGTGAGTGGCAAGAAATGATTTGAAAAGTTGGTTGTGTCAATACGTATCGAGACTGGGAAGAATAACACGGCGGTTAAGACAACATGTAAGCACAGAGAATCACAGAATTAATAATGTCAGTGATGCTAAAATGTTGTTGATGGAGAATAAAAATATAGAAGAAGCAATATTCCAAAACTTAATACTTTCCACAAGAATTATTATTAGTAGTAGTACTTGTAGCAGGAGTGGTAGTAGCAGTAGCAGTAGTAGTACTAATAGCAGTAGTAGTAGTAGTTGTGGTAGTAGTAGTGGTAGTAGTAGTGTAGTAGTAGTACTAGTAGTAATAGTGGTAGTAGTAGTAGCAGTAGTAGTAGTATAGTAGCAGTAGTAGTAGTATAGTAGCAGTAGTACTAATAGTAGTAGTAGCAGTGGCAGTAGTAGCAGTAGTAGTAGTACAGTCGCAGTAGTAGTAGTAGAAGCAGTAGTAGTAGTATAGTAGCAGTAGTAGTGTAGTAACAGTAAAAGTAGTACTAGTAGCATTAGTAGCAGTATTGGTAGTGGTAGTAGTAGCAGCAGTAGTATAGTAGCAGTAGTAGTATAGTAGCAGTAGTAGTAGTACTAGTAACAGTAGTTGTAGTGGTAGCAGTAGAAGTGGTAGTAGTAGTAGTAGTATAGTTGCAGTAATAGTAGTAGTAGTAGTAGTAGTATAGTTGCAGTAATAGTAGTAATAGTAGTAATTGTAGTAGTAGTAGTAGTAGTATAGTTGCAGTAATAGTAGTAATAGTAGTAGTAGCAGCAGTAGTAGAAGAGTAGCAGTAGTAGTAGAATAGTAGCAGTAGTGGTGGTAGTGGTAGTAGTAGTAGTAATAGTAGTAGTAGTAGTAGCAGAATAGTAGTAGTAGAATAGTAGTAGTAGAATAGTAGTAGTAGAAGTAACAGAAGTATTAAAACGAGAATGTAGAGTTTCTACCGAATATTTTTTTTAACCTTTATGAAGCAGCGAGTAAAGATCAAGATTGATGAGGACCGCACAAGTGTTAGGTTAGGACTCCTGGGCCCCGCTGCAGTGTTCTAGTACCTTACTTGTTTGTGCATACAAACACTTCCTTCTTCTTACTGCTAAAGTTACCATGTAAAGACGCTCTCTATTTAAACCGAAAATATCTGCAATACTTTCATACTTAC